GCCACTTACGATCGGGAAGCCTGACATGTGGAACAGCTGTCCGGATGGAGGTGGCTGGTTTTCAGAGTGTGGCTCTCGCCGTAGCTCCCTGCACATTCGTCTTAAAGGCTTCCAGCAGACACAAGACGGGAGGGTGGCTCCTTCTCAATCCACGGCTCTCGCTTGAGTACCTTGCCGTGGCCCCAGGCGGGCGTGCGGCCCGCAACTCGGCACCGAGGCCCCGCGCCCGCAGATCCCCGACGACCCCGCTGTCGCCCTGGCCCGAGGGCGCCTCGCCGCTCTTGCCCGGGGGCGCCCCCTCTGAGGCGGGGGGGGGGCCGGCGGATCGCCTGGGTCGCGCTGCGGCCGCTGCGCCCACCTCGGCGCGCTATCCGAGGCCTGGTCGAGGCGGCGCCCTCGGCCTCAGCCTTGTGTCGTGGCCGCTCACGGTCGCCGCCGCCGCCGTCGACATCTTCGCTTCGTGGTCGGCGTCGTCGTGATTGCCGTTGCCGCCGTTGCCGTTGCCGTCGCCGCCGTTGCCGTCGCCGCCGTTGCCGTCACCGCCGTCGCGGTTCTCGTCGCCGCTGCCGTGTCGATCGTCGTCGTCGTCGTCGTCGTCGTCGTCGTCGTCGTCGTCGTCGTCGTCGTCGTCGTCGCGGTTGGCATCGCTGTCGCCGTCGTCGTTCGCGTCCGCGTTTGCCTGCGGCCTCGCCATCGGCCCCGCGCGGGCGCCCGCCTCGTCGAGGCAGCTGCCCGCCGAGGGCGTGGTGGTCTTCTGCGAGGAGGCGAGCGGCGACGAGGACCGCGGCGCGCCCCCACCGGGGGCCCATCTCGATCCGATCTGTCCTCGGGCGCGAGGAGTAGGCCTCCCAGCGCGACGAAGCTCGCCGCGCGCCCCCTCCGTCTCGCCCTCCCTTTTTTTCCGTGTGCCATCTTCTCTTGTCTTCGCTCCTGTCTACGAGCAAGCTCGCGGACGGAGGTCGAAGGCAGTCCGGGCGGCCGTGCAGGAGCCTTTCACGTCCCAGGGTCTCTTTCGATCCGATCGATCCGATTCGATGTGGATCTCAGCTGGCCCGATCAGATTCGGTTTCGATGCACCGACGATCTGGTGCGCGATGCTTGCGCGGCGCTGTTGTGGATTCTGGCGCAGCCGATCCAGTTCGATTTCGATTCCGTGCCGATCCAGCTCGACCCGATGTACATCTCGAGTCGGCCCGACGTCCCGCTTCGATGCTGCTGGAACCTGCCGGCGCGCAAGGCTTCTCGCGGGTGTCGGCCTCCCGAGGCCCGCTTCGGGCCCCTGGGGCCGTCGGGCATCGGTCCCGGATGAGCTGGCCAAGACGGGCCCCGGGAGGGCTCTGAGGACCGACGCCGCGCGGAGTTGCGGTTGGGGAGGGAGCCACGGCAGGCTCGTGCCGCGTCCAATGGGCGGCGATTCCAGCGCGGGCGTTCCTGGTTGAACGCCACCCATGGCCTGGCATAGGCCGACACCGGACGATCTGCGCCATGGGAAATCCGCGACCGTTCGAGGCTGAAGGATCCGCGCGCTGTCAGAGGCCAACGCCAACGTAGTCGCGACGTGAATCTGTCCTTAGCAGGAAAGGGGAAGACAATGGGATGAGGAGGGAGATGGATGGAGGGAGGTGGATCTGTAGACCTGTTCATTTCATACCTCCCCCCCAGTAGCGCGGGGCCGCCATCGTCGTCGCCGTCGTCGTCGTTGTCGCCGTCGCCGTTGTCGCCGTCGCCGTCGCCGTCGTCGTCTTCGTCGTCTTCGTCGTCGTCGTCGCCGTCGCCGTGGTCGTCGCCGTGGCCGTCGCCGTGGCCGTCACCGTCGTCGCTGTCGCCGTCGTCGTCGCTGTCGCCGTCGCCGTCGCCGTCACCGTCGCTGTCGCTGTCGTCGTCGGCGTCGTTTGCCTGGGGCTTATCGAAGGTTACGCGCAGGCCCCGCATGTGCGGCGTGTGCTGTGCTGTGCTGTGCTGTCCCGAGGAAGCTTGCCATCTTCGCCCCAGCGGCCTGTGCTCCCTTTGCGCCCGCACACGCACCTTGGCCCCATAGGGAGAAACCAAATACCGCGGGTCCGTCATGAGGACCGATCGCGAAGACATGCTCCACGAAATCGTTTGCGCGGCCGCTTCTAATTGGATGATGCGGTGTCGAAAAAAAAAGAGTAGGAGCAAGAGCAACATTATCTTGGCGAAGGACCCAACCACATGCAGTATAGGGTACTGCCCATGTGAGAACCGCCATCGGTGGAGCCCCTGACGGAGCCGCGAAATACGAATGCTAGGTGACTGCTAGGTGTTCCTGCCTTTGTTTCGCCGAAAAACTGCCGAATGTTAAGTTTTCCTGCCCTATGCTTGCTTTATCTTTGCCGGCTGCTAGCTTGTCTTGCCTTATTCTTGTTGCATTCCAGCCGGATGCTAGGCTTTCTTGCCGTAGCCTTGCATTGGATGCTATGTTATCTTGCCGATTCTTGCATTATTCTTCCTGGATGCAAGGCTGCCTTGCCGTATTTTTGCTTCGAATGCTACGTTGTCTTGCTTTATTATTGCTGGTAGCTATGTCGGCTTGTTTCTGTTTTGCTTTAGTGCTGCTTTATTGTTGCGTCATGGAATAGAGAACTCCAAGACTCCTGGAATCCCGCAGAACCCCTGAGCACCCCTGGGTTCTAGCGGAGTTTGGATTGATTTGGGTGAATGTCGGCCACCGTGTTTGGCGGGCGGCCAGGTTCAGAGAGTCCGCTTCGCGTTGCAGCGTGCTTGGATTCCCGCTGCGTGCAGAGAGTGTGAAGAGCGTAATGGGCTGTGAAGATGAAGGAGTATTCAGCGTGCAGATGAGGTGGGCGGTGCTAAAGATGTGGAGCACCCAACGTTTCGTGTGGAATGTGGGGGTTGCAAGGGGTTCAGAGGCGGCATGGATAACAGAAAGGTTTGTAGATATCGTACAGGAAGTAGTTGTTTCTGTGCATCGTGTCGAATATTTATAGAGTGCAGTGAGCGTGAAGAGTGCACAATGTGCGCATATAATCCACGGAGTGCGGAGGGCGTGCAGCCTCTTGGCATCGGACTCTCTCGAAGTCTGGCTTTGACCCCTTCGGCCTGCTTCCTCTACGAGCCTGGGACAGTAGCTGCGTCTGCACTGTTTGCTGGAGATGTGGCGGGAGAGATTCCTTCTCCGCTTCGTCCTGGTCATTGTCACTGTTGCCGCCGCCGCCGTCATCGTCGTCGTCGTCGTCGTCGTCGTCGCCGTCGTCGTCGTCGTCGTCGTCGTCGTCGTCCTCTCCTCTTTCTCATCTCCTCCGCCGCATCCATCCGACCTCTCGTCTGCCTCCCGCTGCTGCTGGTGCTTTGTCAGCTTGGCCCGAGCTGTGCGTACTTCCATTGCAGCTACTTCATAGTATTCCAAGTCTGCCAACCATACGCTGGCACAGATATTGGCCAGGCTCCTACTGGGTCCAGGATTTGTGCCTAGAGACTCCTTGACTTGAATCACGAGCGTCTGCACACACACACACACCCAAGTTACAGGCCTGGCGCGACGCTCGCGTCGAGGCTGTGTGCATACGGTTCGTCGGTAGCACGGCATGCACGACGTCACCAACACCCCGCTGCCGTCAGACCAGGGGATCGTGTTGCGCCGAAACTGAAGAGATACACGGGTCACTGGTCCGTGAAGGGTCTGGCCGGCATTTGTGCCAGCGTATTAACCGGCAGCTGCTTCGCTCTTCTTTTCATCCCTGCGGTCACATGAGCCAGTACGGGCAGACCGCAGGCGGCGCGGCATATGGCGCCTTCCAGGTCGCTTGCGTTTTTTGTTGCTTCGTCCTTCTTCTCCTGCTCCTCCATCTCCTTCATCTCCTCCATTCTCTCCTCCTCCTCCTCCTCCTCCTCCTCCTCTTCCTCCCCTCCCCCGCCTCCCCTGGCCAGAATAAAACTCTGAGGAGGCCGGAGTGCCTTATGGTTACAGTGCTCCTTTCGCGGAGCAGTTCTCGGGAAACCATGCCGAGAAGGCGCCTTTCAGGCCGGGCATGAGGAGGCGGCTGAACGGCACGGCGGTCTGCATCTCGGTCTTGGCGCCCTGGCTCCTGTTCACCGTGGTGCTCGGACTGCTGAGCTTCCCCGTCCACTACAACAATCCTGGAGCGGTCTATCTTGCAGTAGTGCTTTGTTTTGCGGCCGTCGCCTGGGTCGCGTTCTACGCGTACATCCACAGGACGACGCGGAGTCACTCCCCCGAGCACGAACCTAGTTGGCTGTTCTTCCTCACGCTTTCGCTGGCGCTCGCGTGGATGCTCGGCATCGCCATGGGCTACCTCAACTACATCACGAACACGCTGCCGTACCAGCAGATGACGCACCTGAACAGCTACTCTGATGTGGACCCTGGGCTCATGCGAGGCGCACAGCTCATGGACGCGGGCAGCGTGATGTTCGCCGAGGGCCTACGGGGCCGCTGAAGCCACGGGGGGGGGTTCACGTGCTCAGCATCGTCTAGCCTTTCCCCTCCGCTCCGCCTCCAGTCCCATCGTCGACGTTGCTCGTTTGATGCTGCACCGTAGGCAGTTTGGCTCGAAGAGCCCCTATGGGGCGAAACGCATAGCCTAGTTTTCATGTCGCTTGAGACTCGATCAAAAACAAGTCCTCACTGGGCCATGGTCCATGGTAGCTCAGCCCCGCTAGCCTCTACTAGTCACCCCCCCGAGGTGGGGCACAAGCCCCACGAAGCCCGAAGGTAACAGCACACATCCCCGGGTAAGGGGGGTAAAAGTGCGCAGCGGGGCCAAGGCCATGCCAGGGGTGATAGGGGATCGTCTTAACGACGCTCACAGTCGGCCCCCTTCCCCGCACTCCCCCCCCCTTTTCCCGCCCACCCTCACCTGCCCCTCCCACTTTTTCGCTTGCCGCTGCTCCCTCCCCTCCAGAAGGGGGTGGGTGGGATCGTGCAGTCGTCCCTGTGGACTGGGCTTCCCTGAGGTTCCATGCTCGACCTGAACAAGTCCATGGGCTTCAAGAACCAG